GAGGCCCTGCTCTAAAGTGAGCCTCCCTTAGTCATTTGTCATTTTCCAAATGACAGTGCAATCCACCCTCCAGACGCCAAGACAGCTTGCTGCTTTCCCCACCACGAAGTGAGTCATTTTGTGAAGCTGAGGAACATTTAGCAAGGCGGTAATCATCCTAATTTCTCTTGGGTAAGTCCAGATGGAGGTATATTTGGAGCCTTTTCAGAAAGAAACACACTTAACATCAACATGGACTCCATGAGGGCCAAGGATGGTTCAAGAGATTTGGAAAGACCGTCTAAACCCCCTCCTCGCCCAGCTGGTGTGGGTCAGTGGGTGAGTGTTGACCTATGAACCAGGAGGTCATGTGTGTGTGAGTGTTTTTTGTTTGTTTGTTTGTTTGTTTTTAATATATTTTATTGATTTTTTTACAGATAGGAAGAGAGAGTGATAGAGAGTTAGAAACATCAATGAGAGAGAATCATCGACCAGCTGCCTCCTGCACACACCCCCACCGGGGACATGCCTGCAACCAAGGTACATGCCCTTGACCAAAATTGAACTTGGGACCCCTTAGTCCGCAGGCCAACGCTCTATCCACTGAGCCAAACCGGTTTTGGCAGAAGGTCATGTTTTGATTCCCAGTCAGGACATATGCCCGGGTTGTGGGCATATGTCCTGACTGGGACTATGTCCAGTGTGGGGTGTGCAGGAGGCAACCAATCAATGATTCTCTAACATCATTGATGTTTCTATCTCTTTCTCCTTTCCTCTCTGTAATAAAAATAAATAAATAAATAAATAAATAAATAAATAAATAAACCCCCTCCACAAAGAAGGCTTCTGGGAACATCCCAAAGATTGTGCCCTGGCTGATTTGACTCAGTGGATAGAGCATTGGCCTGCAGACTCAAGGGTCCCGTGTTTGATTCTGGTCAAGGGCACATGCCCTGGTTGCAGGCTCCGTCCCCAGTAGGGGGTGTGCAGGAGGCAGCTGATCAATGATTCTCTCTCATCATTGATGTTTCTATCTCTCTCTTCCTTTCCCTTCCTCTCTGAAATCAATAAAAATATATTTTTTAAAAAAGAATTTGCTCTTCCTGATCATGCATGAAAGGCCATGAGTATAGAGACTGGCATACCAGAAGCACCCAATAAATGCTAGCTATTATTATCATCACTTTCATTATTAGTATTTATCTCCCCAAGTGCATTGGAAAGAATATTCTCACAATAACCTTTTGAGATGGGTGAGATCGTCCCCATTTTGCAGATGAGGAAACTGAGGCTCAGAGCATAGATGTTATATTCACCATCTCACTGTTTCCACTCCTGCCCACCGACAGTCCAAAGGGATCTTTTAAAATTGAAATAATATCTTATATACAAGAAGGAGGCTCTCTAGGTAATGATGTTATATATTTTATGATCTAACTTATTTATGATTTAGGTCTTTTGAAAAAGTAAGAGCAATGCCATGGATGTGTAAGATGTTGACATTAAGGGGAAACTGGGTGAAAGGCATATGGAAACTACTTCTTTGCAACTTCTCGGTAAACCTAAAATTATTTCAAAATAAAAAGCTTATTTAAAAATTAATCAAATCATGTTACTCCTCTGCCTGAAACCCTCTGGTGGTTTCCCAATGGGCTTAGAATAAAATCCTGTGGCTGTACGTGATCTAGCCTTTGCCCACTTCAACTTCCTCTCCTAACACTCTTCCTTCCCAGTACACTCCAGCAACTCTAGCCTTTCCTTCCCCCTCCCTCTAAAAATCAATAAAAACATAATTTAATAACAACAACAAAAACCTGCCTGGATCCAAGGAAGACAGTTGGAAGGTATACTTTAATCCACTCTCGTCATTTTACAGATAGGCAAACTAGAGAGGGGAGGGGACACTCCATCGATTAGACAGCAGCCTTTCTGGTAAATGCTTGTTTGCTGGTCCTTAGGGAGGTCATTCAAGTTGATAATGGCAGGAAAGGGCCCATAGGGGGTCAGTTCTTTCCTCCCAGAGCTGTTGGCTGTGCTCTGCGAGCGTTCGGGCCTCTGCTATAAGCTCCTGCCACGCTCAGGCTCAGCGCCAGCTTCTTTTCTCAGGCATGTGCCAGCAAAACTGGACTCTGGCCGAAACCGGTTTGGCTCAATGGATAGAGCGTCGGCCTGCGAACTGAAAGGTCCCAGGTTCGATTGCAGTCAAGGGCATGGTTGGTTGCAGGCACATCCCTAATAAGGGGTGTGCAAGAGACAGCTGATCAATGATTCTCTCTCATCGATGTTTCTAACTCTCTATCCCTCTCTCTTCCTCTCTGTGAAAAATCAATAAAATATATATTAAAAAAAAAACTGGACTCTGGAGGGGAGTGGCCCAGCTGAGAATGGTATGTGGACAGAAGCCCTCTCCATGCCCCAGCCCAGACTGAAGTCCTCCAGCCCTGATGACATCAGCAGATGTGAACGCACTTGCTATTTGTATATGTGAAGTTATAGCCCTCTTATTGTGGGTACAGACATGTTTAGATCATTTCACTGGGTTCCACGTTTGTTTTCTGTCTTGTTTTGTGTTTAATATATTTTTTTATCCATCTCAGAGGAAGGGAGAGGAGAAAGATAGAAACATCAATGATGAGTGAGAACTATTGGTGGGCTGCCTCCTGCATGCCCACAACCCGAGCATGTGCCCTGACCGGGAATCGAACCGTGACCCCCTGGTTCATAGGTTGATGGTCAACCACTGAGCCACACCAGCCAGGCTCCGCATGTGTTAGGTGCCTAGTGTGTGGCAGAGTTGTGCTAGGTGCTGGGGATTCACAGCGATTTATTGAATATAAAAGAGCTTTGGTTCCTGGTTTGTCCTGAGTTCCAGCCCTGGCTTTGTAACTTACTACCTGTGTGACCTTCCTCTAACAACCTCGCCTCTCTGACTCACTTTCTTCACCTGTAAAATGGATGTGATGGAAATAGTACATAATTCCTAGCGTTGTTTTGGGGATTCAGTGAGATCATTGTTGGCATATAATAAGAAAATTGGGGCAGTGTTTGTTTGTTTTTTTTCTCTATAGCACTTATCAGATGCTGATATCTTTATTTGCATCTTTGTTTATTATCTGTCTGGCTTACTAGATGATTCTTCCTGAGAGAAGGGCCTTGTCTGTCTTGCGCACCCCTGCTTTCTTGCCTAGAACAATGCCTGGCACAAAATAGGCGCTCCATAAACATTTGTCTGCTGAATGAATCGCTGTCTTCTGCTCTAATTGCCATTGCCATGAAGCACCCTGCCCTGAAGTAGGCCACAGTCTGGACTCCGAGAGCGGCCACCCTGACTCACCATCCAGCTGTTCACAACAGCGCTGGCATCGGCTCAGAATGTCACCAACTGGGCTCTATTCCCTGGACTGACAAACAACATTTGTGTCTCTTCTGGGGAACAGAGCGACAGCTCTAGAGAGCGAGCTGATGACTGGGGAAAGAAGAATGAGCAGCTGAGCTGAGCAGGGGCTGGGGAGCCCTGAGCCTCAATGCCCTGGCAACAGGCGCAAAGAGGCCACAGGTCCACGTGCAAGGAGGAGTCCTTGCCCCGCGCCGCTTGGGTCCCCAGAGGATACCGTTTCTAAGGATAGATGCCCGGGTCGTTGCAATCACAATAGATGGCATGAGGGGAATCCGTGCACCCTGCGTGCCTTGAAAAAACAAAATGAATTTCTCAGGGGAGAAAAAGAAAGGGCTTTGCAAACTGTACAGTGCTGCAGAAAAAAGAAAAAAAAAACACAGAAAAATGAAAAGGTCAGGATCCAAGAGAGCAGACGTGTTTGCTGTGTGGGTTGCACTTTCTTGCCTCCCCCCCCTCCCCCCGGGTTGCACTTTTAAACTCAGCTAAAAGCAACGCGCAGCCCCCAGAGGTTGCAGATTTGGGGGGGCCTCCGGGAGAGAGATGGACTTGGGGGGCCGAAGGCAATGGGACAAAAGTGTTTGCAGAATTCACGATCCCGCCCGCGATGCCGGCCCTGGCAAACTCGCCCTTCGCTTCCGGCCTCCAGCTCTGCGCGCGAAATCTGCAAATTCTCCCTTGGCTCAGCTTCGTGCTTGCTAGAGTCAGGGTAACCGTCCCCATGATTATATAACTCCCGTGTTCGAGAAAGATAATCTACACATATAAGGGTGATGAAAAACAATTTTTGAAGGTGGATTATAAAAAATGTTTCCCCCAATGGAAGAGTTACAGAGCGCGCTCGCGCACGCATTCACACACAACATACAGGCACAAATAGCTAGATTCCCACCCATCAGGATGAATCACTGTTCACATTTTGCTTTATCTGAAAGAGGGCTTTCCCAGGTCCCAGCAAAATGTAAATCCAAAGTCCATCTACTTTTCTTTTTCTCCCTCTTCACCTCTACCCTAGGTTTATCTGAAGGAGTAAATTCCAGGAATCCCTAATTCCAGGTCTGCAAACATCTGACCCCAGTGGACAGTATCCCGCGCCGAAGCCGCAAGGCTCCCATCCACAGCAGCAGCATCTTTTCCCCACTCCACTCCCCGGCCCCAGCTCCCGCTTGCAATTTTGCAACTCCCGCTCCCGCCAGGGGGCCTATTTGCTCAGCTCCTTTGGCGGAAGGATCCGAACGCTGCGCTCTACTTTCTCAACCGTCTCCGCCCCCACCCCACCCCCCGCGCTCCGGCCCCGCCCCCTCCCCGCTCAGGCCCCGCCCCCTCCCGCGCGTCCAATGGCTCACAAACAAGTCCCGGCCGGGCCGCCGCACTCCCCGCGCGCATCCGTGCGCCGCCCGAGGCTAGCTGAGGAGTCGGCGGCCATTTTGTTCTTCTCGTGGTTCCCGTGGAGAGAGAGGAGGAAGCAGGGAGCGGGGCGGTTGGGGGGGAGACCCGCCGCGGCTGTTGCCACCGCCGCCGCCGCCGCCACCGCCGCCTCTGTGCTCGTGGCGCGGGGAAGGAGGCGTGAGTCCCGGGCGCGAGCCGCCGGCGGCGCCGCTGCGGGAGGGTCGGCGGTGGGGAGGCGATGGCGGATATAGATAAACTCAACGTCGACAGCATCATCCAACGGCTGCTGGAAGGTGAAGGGGGCGGCGGGCGGGCTGAGGGGAGGCAGCGGTTGGGGGTGGGAGGTGGAGTCGGGAGGCCAGTTGGACTTGAGCACCGAGAGGGGAGTGAGCCCGCGAACTGGCCCTCGGGCCGGGGGCTGCCGGGCCGGGCCGGGCCGGGGTGAGGGGAGGCCGGCCGGCCGGCGGGGTCCCGCACTCGGCCCCGCCGCTCGCCCTCCCGGCGCCGCTCATTCATTGCACGGACTCGGGCGCAGCCTTCCTCGTCGGCCGTGAAATTTGAAAACTCTGCTCCCTACCCCCACGTTTCCGGTCCGGTCTCTGGCTCCCCACACGCCGGACCGGCGTTGGGAGGAGAGAAGGGTTTGGGGGTGTTGGGGAGGAGGGGGGTTCCGTACTTTCTGGTACCCGGCCTCTCGGAAAGCGACTTAGAGGATGGGCTGTGGGTTCCCCCGGCTTGGCGGGCGGGCTGCTTTCCCATCGCTCGTGTGTGTGTGTGTGTGTGTGTGTGTGTGTGTGTGGCTGGGATGGGCGGGGAAAGGGGCATTTCCTGTCCGAACACCTCTCCGGGGGACGCGGGGACCCCCCCCCCCCTCCTCCTGCGCTCCCAGAGAACTCCGTTTAAGCTGTCCGGTCCTGGCGAGGGCTCCGCGCTCTTTTCTGAACTTGCAGCCAGCGATGGTGACAGTGAGATCTTTGCAGGGTGCCAGGCTCTGGGCGTACATCTAATACATTATCAACCGCGATGATAACCGAGCTTCCTGCGTGTCCGGCTTTTTTTATTTTGTTTTGAGCACTTTGCATAGATTTTAGCTAGTTCTCCCAGCAGCACTTGGCGAGGTAGGTGCTATTGTTTTCTCCTGTGTTTTTTTGTTTGTTTGTTTTTTTCAGAGCAAACACAGAGAGGTGAAGTCACTCGAGCAAGGTCACAGAGTTAAGACAGATTTCCAAGCCAGGCAGTGAGTGAGGAGCTAAAACTCCTTCAGCTCACCCAGTGCGTGAAGGAAGGAGGTGTCCGGTGGTTTACCCCAAGGTTAAAATGAGCTTCACTTTGGCCCAAGACCGCCTGGCACTGGATTCATATTGATTTGGGAGACGGAGGAAGTTGGGATTTTTTTTTAAAGAGGGATGGGGAAGTGAGCTGCTCCACGTTTTGGGTTCCAGAACGGGGTCTAATGCTAACGTCTTATTCAAAGCTTTAGGGGAATTTGAATCCCTTTCTTGATTTGGGCACTGGGTAATATACAGTTGATTGGGCCTTAACTTTTTTTTTTTTTTGCCTTTATATTGTCCTTAATATTGTTGGACTGTAAATGCTGTGAGAGGGAGTCAAGAGCGTGGTGAACAATGGACAGCTCTGGGTTTTGCAAATCTTTTGAATTGTCATTAAAATAAGCTCCTGAAATAGCTTACTCTGTGTGGGGGACTTTTCCTCTTATACTTCTTTTTTTCTTTCCTCTTATACGTTCTTGAAAGAAAAGGAAAGCCCATTAAATGAGTTCCAGAAATTATAACAAATAATACTTCCCATACTATTTAGTACGGCTCTATTTATATGAGGGAGCAGTGGTTCAGAAGTGGATTAAAACAGGGCAATAAGAAAAGGACTTTCCATTACATGTTTTTATGTCAAAAACTTTACATTCTGCATAGCTGCAGGAATGTGTGGCTAGAATAAGATGGGCTTTATTTTACTGAGGAAACAGGAAAAATGAAATCTGTGTATTAGAAACAGAATTTTAAGATTAAGTCTTGTTATTTTTAGTTCTTGATTAAAGTAGTGTTTTAATGGCTTATGAATAGGCTAGCTGCACCATATATTTTTTTCTCATTAAAGTTAAATTGGCAAAGAAACTGATGATCTATTGAGAATATATATATACTTTATATTTAAAGTATTGGTATTAAATTTGTGGATTTTGTAATGCTTTTAAAAACCTTAAGACTTAAGCATATTTGAAAACGGAGGCAATGTTAATTTTGTGGCCTGTTGGAATCTTTTACATGTTCACAATTGTCTTTTAAGGTGGAGGACTGTACCGGCTAGTAGAGAAGTAGCTTGGTGATGGTACTAAAAGGTCAACTCAAAAGTGAAGTCTTATTTAAGAAAAAAACAGCATGTTGGTTTAGATCTTCAGTCAGTACAGCTTTGCAGTTCTTTCTTTACCCTGTTAGTAGTTTTTCTTTAAGCAAAGTATCACCTTTGCAAACCCATCTTGGAAGTTTTTGTCCAGGCTCTGCCTTGATGATAAAACCTAAAGGTTGTTACTCCTTTGTAATATTAGGTTATTTAAATAACTGCACAGTAAAACTTAAGCAATTTAGAGGGAAAATAAGCCAGCTGTTGATTTGGTCCGATATTTCTACTGTGTTGGAGAAATATACTTTTGGTTATACTTTGTAAGCGACCTTGCTCAGGGAGCTAGCACTTTTCTCCGATAGCTGGAGGTTGTGACTTATTTTCACGTCCAGATTTGCAAGAAGCTTCTTTGCTCTGAAGCTGGCTACTTCGCACTGCAAGATTGTGCCAGGCTCTGCATAATTGCTTGGCTTGCCTTAGTGATTTAAATATGACCTTTGCCCTGGCCCTTGGAAAACCTTTACTGATTTGATTCTCTGGTGTGTAAGAGTTAATCTGAAGATACTCTAAAACTCTAAAATTGTTTAACTTATGTGTTTAGCTTTTTGGTGTAATATGAAACATGTTTACATTCTAATGCTAAAAAGACAGCACCCCTGGTTCTGAAGATAATAAGCAAACAATAGGCAGGGGAGGGGGGGAGGTTCTTAAAATGCTGACCAAGGCAAACAAAAATAATCTTTCCTAATTGACACTTCAGCAGTTATATTTTTCTTTCATGCCAGATAATTTTAATGATTAGAGGCTTTACTTGGGATGGGTTATCATAGGACATTTTTGTTGGTAAAGACTAAAGCTGTTATTACCTAACTTACAAGAAGTCTGTGGTGTGAGCCCCCTCTTCCCTCTCCCGCAGGTCAGCTGTACGCTGCATCCTTTCCTTGGAGTTAAGACAGAAAGCTCATTGGAGACATGAGCTAAACTTATGCCAGTCCTTAACCACAGCATAGAAGAGATTATTTGTGCCCCCTTGTCTGACAGTAGCAGGAGGCCAGGCGTTCCTTCTACAGCTGGGGAAATAGAGGTGCTGCTGGGCCTTGCATTGGTAGCCCATCTGGCGGTAGAGGTTGGTGAGATTGTTTTATGTCTTTGAAACTGCGGTACTATAGTGACCTGCTTGTTCTGTATAAGTGTGTGCCATTCGGTTCATTTGAATATGTGAGAATTATTGATCTTGAAGCAGAGAAATGATTGATACTATATGGATTTGATCATTTCACTTAATTTACAACTGAGGCTAATAGTAGACCTTAAAGATTGAAATGTTAAGGAAATAATATTCTAATGTGAATTGATTTATAAATGAGGAAACTGGAAAGTCTTAGTATTATTCAGGAATACTAAGGGATAATTCCATCTGTGGAGTTCATAGAATCGTGGGACAAATTTTTAAGGATCAGACCCTGTATCTAAAGTGTATAAGAACAGATGACTTCCTTAGGAGTCTTGATTTATTTGGTATCTCCAATTTCTCGGCTACTCTAGGGTTTAGTGGCATCCTCTTGTCTAGAGGGGAGTGGGTATCACTGATATTAACGTCTCTTTTCAAAAGTTGAATGTAATAATCCATGTTGTTGTTTTTGTCAAAATGGGTTTTTAGCCAAAACCGGTTTGGCTCAATGGATAGAGCATCGGCTTGGGGACTGGAGGGTCCCGGGTTCGATTCCAGTCAAGGGCATGTACCTTGGTCGCGGGCATATCCCCAGTAGGGGGTGTGCAAGAGGCAGCTGATTGATGACTCTCATCGATGTTTCTAACTCTCTATCTCTTTCCCTTCCTATCTGTACAAAATCAATAAAATATATATATATTTTTTTTAAAAAAATGGGTTTTTAGACTACGGAAAGTTAAACATTTTTTTTAATACATTGGCTTCACTGTAGGTCTAGAATACTCAAAGTATGCTTTATTGAGAGCAGTGACTGTTTTGCAGCTATATTCTTACAATCTGCCTTGAGAACATTGGTTTAACCTTTAATAGCCCAAAATATAAATTAGCCACTAAGAAAGGGGGGTGGGGAGTGAAAACAATTAAGATGGTCAGAAAGTGGAAGTCTTCTGCTGGTGATAACATTCTTTTGGTGTGTGTGTGTTAGAAAAGAACAGTAGTTTGTGGGAAAGTTTCAGTATTCACTATTTTTGTTTGTTTGAGTTTCAGGTCTAATTTTTCCAAATCTGTCCAATATTGCAAGGTTATTTTGTCATTGAAATGAATGTGTGTCATATTCTTTTCTTAATATATTTTTAATATATTGATTTTTTTTTACAGAGAGGAAGAGGGATAGAGTTAGAAACATTGATGAGAGAGAAACATTGATCAGCTGCCTCTTGCACATCCCTTTCTGGGGATGTGCTCAAAACCAAGGTACATGCCCTTGACCGGAATCGAACCTGGGACCTTTCAGTCCGCAGGCCAACGCTCTAGCCACTGAGCCAAACCTGTTAGGCTCTTTTGGTTTATTTTTATATTTGTTTGCCATTCTTAGATTTTAAATTTTTATTATATTTCAGCTAGTGCTTTTTTTTTAATGATATTCCTTTAATACCTTTCAAAACAGTTAAAGAGCCTTTAATTGAGGGACAGAAGAATCCTTTTTCATTCCCCATAAATAATCTGTTACCTTCAGTTTCCTTCCATAGTTTTTATCTCTGCTTTGCTTGCTGCTGTCAGAAAAGTTCCTGTTGCTTGAGAGAGAAAGCTGTCGTTGCAGATAGTCACCAGTGACATTCTTTTATTATTGTAGGGTTTTATCAGTTTTGCTTTCAATAAAATTGCTGGGAAGTTTATGATCTGCCAGATAAGTAAATATGTTTGTTCAGAACACCTTTGCTGATAACAATCATACTGCATTTTTTTGAATCACCATTTCTAGCAAGATAAAGAAAAACTTTTACTCAAAAGTCATGTGAAAGGTCTAAGGTGAATATTTTAATGTATTGATCACTAGCCTATATATGTTCAGATGTCTACTAATTTTATTTCCTTGCAATACTTGGCACCTGGATTTATGAGAAACGCTCCGGATAATGGAATTTTTATTGGTTGGAATATTTTGGATTCCATTGACAGTAATTGAAATAATTTGAAAAGCTACTTAGGAAGTTATCCTGAGGTGACAACCCTTGAATTTCCCACCTATGAATCTCCCATTTATATAGGTTTCTCCCATGCACAGAGCATAGTGAGGGCTTTAAACCTCCAAGTAAGGACTGATGTTTATTGAGCACTGCTGTACTCTTTCTCTTTCAGCTCACAGAGATAAAATAAAGATATTAGCCTTTGTCTTTAATACCATTTTTAATGGTAATAAAATTTTCTTAAGATGATCTTTTACTTTTCTAATCTTTATGGAGGGGGGATAGTTCTAGTTATAGCAGTTATAACAACAATCTCCAAGTACCCATTTTGTCTTATTTTCTGTGCCCTCCACTAATGTAAGAAAAAGGACAGGTTTCTTGTGTAGCCTGTTGTTATGGTAAATAACTTACTGATAGTCTTAACAGATTGCACGATTAAATTCTTATTTAATGCCTCTCACGTATAAGGGTGCATTATGATTTTATATCCCATATCAATTTTTTCTTAGGAAGCCATGGCTGTATTGGGGTTTGTCCTATAAAAACTTTGATTTGGGAGTTTAATGAAGACCAAGTTCTTACTTGGGAGGATAGTATGTTGGAAGCATCACTAAAACTAGAGTCAGTCTGGGCCTAGTGTTCTTACAAGCTCTGACTTTGGACCAACTCTCATTGAACCTCTCCAGACCTGTAATGTGGAGGTGATTGTCTAACCTATAGGATTGTTGAGGATTATCCGGCAATGTAAAGCCCCTTAGCTCAGTATCCAGCACATGGAAAGTGCTTGGCAGATGTTAGCCACAGCTAATACATGATTCTATTTTATGGACATTGAAAATGGGAAGTACATATGCTGATGGCTGATATGGCCATTTTTAAGAAATATGTACAGTGTTCACTTGGGCTACCAAAACCCATTTTGAGATCTTTATCTTCTATTAGACATACTATCTTCAACTTCAAATTTAAGAGTAATCTTGTCTTTTTACAACTAGGGAAATAACTCCAGTAAAGCCTTGTAGGAAATAGGTATGTAGTCTGGAGTGTATGTTTAATTCTAAGGCCACAAGTGAATATAGTACTTAGGATTTATCCACACTTCATTTATGCAACAAATATTGAGTGCCGGCCATGTACTCTGAGAACAAATGGTGTGTTTTTGGGATTTGTATTCTATTCTGGGTCCAGATGAATGGGGAGAAGTGAATTTGCGATTACAATACAAAGTACAAGTGTGTGCTGGCTGTGACTGGCTGTTTGAGAGCATTTCATAGAAGGGAAAGCAGGCTTATGAGGAGAGGAGAGGTTGAAGGATGAGCAGGTATTTGCCAGTTGGTAGAAGATTGGTTGGGTGGAATTTCTATCATTTTACCCTTTAAGCTAATTGTAGGGGATTTAAAAAGCTTTGAGGCCATGTTTTTAATGATCAGTCTTCAAATATAAAATATACTAAGTTCTGGGGGAATTTCACATTAAGAATAATTTTTAATTGTTAGCAGTATTTCTCTTTACTAAACTGCATTCCCACTCAGGACAGAATAAGAGAAAACTACCATAAACTGCATCTAAAGGTGATAATGGGAAGCCATTGAAACCAGTAAAATTCATGGTCGCAATATGAATATGATGGCATTGATTTACTACTAGAGCATTCATATAAAAAGTATAGCCTGAATTCTGTATAGAAGTAAGTCAATTTTTACAGACTCCTGGAAAATAGAGTAGGCTCTTCATTCACAAATGTGGAACTCTGCTGAAAACAATTCAGGTTGAAATCAGAAGCTTCAAGGAGTCCCCTCCAAGCCAAAAATAAAATTTTCTGCTGGGCTGTCTGCCCAAGTTTCTGGCTGACTTGTGGTAAAATCACTAATGATTGGGGTTTTCTGGCCAGTGAATCAAGAACACATCATCTTTCACTGGTAGTGTTTTTTTGAGTTCTCTACCATGTGTGTGTTTAGCAAGAGAGAGAAATTGCTGTGGAAAAATCACTTTTTATTGCTCAATTGCTGTTGTGTTATGTATGCATTTGTTTTGTGTCTTCCCTCAAAGGTTATTACTGTATTTTTCCTTTAATTGCTTTTTGTTTCATAATTTTATCAGAGACTGGCTAATCATTTAGTTCAGTTACATATTTTGGGGTTTAATGTAGTGGTTTGGCCAAGGCTATAGAACCAATATAGAAACTTGGTGCTCCTGGCTCCAAATCCGTGCTCTTAGTTTCTTTTTGTGTGTTTCAAGAATTTGATCCTCTCTTGTTCATTATCTCTCATTGAAATATATATCACACTCTATATAATTTAATTCTGCTCAAAACTTGTTTCTTCAGAAAATTGAGGGATTTTGGTGATTTCAGGCCGTGGGATGGCTTTGCCTGGGTAGGACAATGTTTCTCAAATGAGGACACAGCCCTTTGTAACGGGGAAGAATTCTCAACAAATGTCAGGTTTTTTACTAGTAATTTTGATCACTCTGTAATGTTACTTAGGTATTATAGAGCAAAGCTGGATACAAACCTGTTAAGCCTATTGCTCTTATTCAACTAATTAAGCCAAATGATTTTGTAATTTGAATAGAAATAAAGCCTCCAAAACCAATAAAATTTAAGTTAGCAATGATTTAATCTGATGGATTTTGTGGTTTTGCTAATACTAAGTCACTTTTTATTGGCTTTAATGGTAGAAAGATGCAGGCTTGCATTTTATAGTTAGTCTGGTCCTGTGTTTTCTCCCTTTATTTCTAATGCAAAGAATGCCTAATTTATTTCCTACACTTCCTACCTACTGATAAAATGAACTGTTACAGGCCAGAGGAGAGAGCTTGTGCTTTATTTTGACAGTGAGTAGACCTCAGAGTGCTCTGATGTGGGTGCTTGTGAGTTTAGGATGTCTGGTGCTATGCTATGACTTTTTCTCCCTTTGCTCATGTTTATTGTTCAGATTACCTGGAAGCCTTTCTTATAGCACAAGCAGACATCTTTTGCCCTGTGGAGACATAATGTATTTTAAAATGCAGGCACAGAAATTGCACTGCCAGACATGTATAACAAGCCTACGATGTGTTTTATTGAAGTCAAAATACTTAAAATTTTTCATAGATAAATCAGGGGCCTGAAGAAATACCTGAAAAACGCTGATTTGGTGGGAGATGGGGGTCTGAGCCATTCAAATCTCACATTTTAAAACGTTCATAGAAACATCTCAGTAACGTTACAATCTCTGAAACCTGCTGTGCAAATACTAATTCATTTATAAGGCTGGAGAAGAGAAGACAGGAGGCAAAAAGAGCTGGCCTGGTGGGCGGGCTGTAGGTGAACAAACAAGGCTGATTGTGTGGCTTGGATGCAGAACTGAGGCCTCAAGCCACAGGGAGTCTGATTTCAGCACATAGTAAAAGAGAGACCTTTCTAACCATAATGACACACAGTATCCTGAACAAGTCTTAACTCTATCGAAGATGGCAACTGAATAACCTCTGAAATCCTGGCTAACATTTAAGATTCTAATTAGGCTTTAAAATCATGTTCTTTATAAATGTCCTGAAAATAAAGCCAGCCAAAAAGCTAAACTGTTATTTTACCTCTTCGTTACCTAAAGTTTGTATCTTTTTAACTTTTACATTCAATTGTATTTTGACTTCATTTGACTAATTGGGTTTTTTCTCCCCTACAGTAAGAGGGTCCAAGCCTGGTAAGAATGTCCAGCTACAGGAGAATGAAATCAGAGGACTGTGCTTAAAATCTCGAGAGATCTTTCTCAGTCAGCCTATCCTACTAGAACTTGAAGCACCACTCAAAATATGTGGTAAGTCTTGGAACACTAACATGGTTATGTGATTGAGATTGATTAACTGAGGCAAGGATATATAGAATACCTTATATTAGCCAGCATAATCATTTGCTATTTGTGAGTAACCTGGAACTACTTTAAGTTAAATAATTACAGCTCTAGAATAAATACTTCTGATGGGCTTAGTTTACTTAGATGTACTTCAGATTTACTAAAAATTATTTTGCTGAAGGAATAGAGACATTGAAAAAGGAATGAAACAGAAGGGAGAGCTAAGAAAAGGTCTGAATTATATGAATATGTAGGAATTATATTTAAACTTAAAGTAGAATTGGTTATGCCTAAAAATAGACCTCCTTGGTACCACTTTATAGTTCTACTTTTTCTACAGGATAGAAGCAGATAATCCATATAAGAACTAAACTTTATCTGAGTAATGTTATAATCTTCTAGTATATTTAACTACATTGATAAAGCAAATAAATTCTCTAGCATTATCTGTGAGGGGGGAGTTGAAAGCTGAATGCATTGAAGGGTAGAGTGAGTATGTATCTTTGTTCACCTGGGATCAGGGCTCAGTAGAAATGCAGTGGTTCTGCAGACACAGTACAGGAGACTCAGCTGTCAGAGATCTGATATTGATCAGGGACCTGAAAAGAAAACAATGTTACTTGGCAAGAATGCCTGCCTAGGCATTAGTAATCTTTCCACAAAATAAATTAATTAGTTGAGTTTTGTGTGGGATTGTGGATCTACACGTACACTTAAATTTTTTATTAAGTTTAATTGAACTAATAAGGTAGAAGATTGGAAATTAGTGTTAGCAATCAAATTTAACTGTCCTTATTGGAGGCATTGCCGCTATGCAATGAATGTTTAAAGAATGGCTTTCAAAGCTTTGTTAATGTACTACAAGTATGAAGACACTGTTTAACAAAACCCTTGCTTCTAGGTGATATCCATGGGCAATACTATGATTTGCTTCGACTCTTTGAGTACGGTGGTTTCCCGCCAGAAAGCAACTACCTGTTTCTTGGGGACTATGTGGACAGGGGGAAGCAGTCGCTGGAGACTATCTGCCTCTTACTGGCATACAAAATCAAATATCCCGAGAATTTTTTTCTTCTCAGAGGAAACCACGAATGTGCCAGCATCAATAGAATTTACGGATTTTATGATGAATGTAAGTATTTCTATATCTAAGGAAGGGTTACCTAAATTGAGATATTTGGTCATAAACGTACATAGTTCTGTTGATATCATCTCTCTCTTGTTTCATCTACTTTTTCTTAGTATTTTCTTTTGGGCAGTGGGAGGAGTAGATGGATATTCACAGCTAACTTAAGAAAGGATTCGTGCCCTTACAGGTTTGGCTCAGTGGATAGAGCATTGGCCTGTGGACTGAATGGGTCCCAGGTTCAATTCTGGTCAAGGGCACATCCCAAAGTTGTGGGCTCGGTCCCCATTAGGGAGTGTGCAGGAGGCAGACGATCATTGATGTTTCTATCTCTTCCTCTCCCTTCCTCTCTGAAATCAATTAAAAAAAATTTTTTTAAAAAAAATAAGGATTCCTTTTATACAGCTGTTATCTCAGCAAGTACTTTGAAGTTTTCATTGGAATTCAAATCCAGATGATCTTTGTTGTGATGTATATCCTAGTGTGGGAATATTAGCTACATCACTTTCAGTTTCTATTTGATGCAAAGGCTTTTAAAAATTAGGTCAGCATTGGTTTGGTCATTAAGAAGACTCAATTATTGATCTTGTATTTAAGCGGCCCCCATCCCATCAAGCAGGTATATTTTGCCACCCAGTCTTCTTGTGGGCATAAAAGTGTCCTTGACATAAATGGCTTTCATTTGATGGTTTATAGACTTTTAAAACAATTACTGATGTTTTATTAAATTTTTATTGTCAACTTTATTAAGGTGATGTTTTATTCAAATGTAGATTTCTTGTGGGGCAATATAAAAACTGCTGGTTTAAGTGATAGCCTTATTTCCCAAGTATAACCAACACTCTGCACTATTTTCTTTCTAACCTTATGACTGCAGTGGTAAGGCTGAGAGGTATTTGTTGTTGGATACAATGTGAATTGTGTGTTATCCTTTTCTGATAATCTTTTATTTATTTTTTTATTGGTTTCAGAGAGAAAGGGAGAGATAGAAACATCAATGTGAGAGAGAATCATTGATTGGCTGCCTCCTGTACATCCCCCACTGGGAATCGAGCTCGCAAACCAGGCATATGTCCTCACTGAGAACCAAACCATAACCTCATAGGTCGATGTTCAACCACTGAGCCACGCTGGTCGGGCTGAACTTTCTAATATATAATAATAGGAAACTACATTAGGGATTCTGGCTCAGAATCCCAGGATTTGAAAGCTTGCAGAGATGTTGGCAGTTACCCAGGCTAAATCTTTCTGGAGTGATCTGAAGTGGCCTTGGGCAATGGAATGGGGGTTGGGGGACTGTAGAGAAATAGAAGAGAAAACAGGGGCCCAGGACTTAGTTAAGATACTCAGAGACAACGGAGGGAAAATCCTAATATTTGTTAGAGAAGCCAATAACATAGCAAAGGAACTTGAAGGAGATGCTGGAATATGTTGCATGACTAAGGAATCAAGGAGCAAAGCAGACTTCAATAAGGAAGAGGATTGTTGGCACTGGCAAATACAGCACGTGGGCAAAGGAGAGATCTAAGGGCGCGCTGGTGGTCATGCAAAGAGAGCTTTCTAATTTTGTCCAGGGTTGTGTGTTTTTTTGTTTTGTTTTGTTTTGTTTTTTAATATATTTTTATTGATTTTAGAGAGGACGGGAGAAAGAGAGAGAAACTTCAGTGATGAAAGAGAATCATTGATCAGCTGCCCACCTGCATGTGTCCTGGCCATGATTTAAACCATGACCTCCTAGTTTATAGGTCGATGCTCAACTACAGTCATGCTGGCCATGCATCAGTCTCTTTTTAACCATCGTTAAATTTTCACAGGTAAAAGAAGATATAACATTAAACTGTGGAAAACTTTCACAGACTGCTTTAACTGTTTACCGATAGCAGCCATCGTGGATGAGAAAATATTTTGCTGTCATGGAGGTATGTGGGCTGATTTTAATTCCAAATGGAACTGTAGGGTTTTTTTTTATCCCCTCTAAATGGTATATTTTGACATTTTTGAGTTATCATTGGGATGATTTCCTCTGTCAGATAACTCTTATTGATCATGGATTCACTTTGGCACAACCAGGATTATTTGGATAGAAGTCTGAAGAAAGCAATTGATTTGTTATAAGGAATTCTAGACTCTGTAACAGATTGATTTGAAAACAGAACTGAAAATACTTTAAATACAAAATGCACAGCAGTTAACATTCTGGACCATAGATCTAGAATACCAAATACGTCAGTAGACTTTTCCCAGGTCTGTGTTTTATCCTTTCAAAAGAGGATTTTAATTTCATGCATGTTGAAGTAACTGTTCCCATATACTGTTTAAATATACTGGGCCCACAGATGAGTGCTTAAAATAAATCCCAGTGCTAATTCAGTTTTTGGGTTTTTTTACCCGGAGCTTAGTAAGAAAACATATCCATAGGTTTAATTTTAAAACTTCGCTGTTGAGTCTCTCTGAAGTGGTTTTCTTTACATTTTTCTTATTTAATAGGTTTATCACCAGATCTTCAATCTATGGAGCAGATTCGGCGAATTATGCGACCAACTGATGTACCAGATCAAGGTCTTCTTTGTGATCTTTTGTGGTCTGACCCCGATAAAGATGTCTTAGGCTGGGGTGAAAATGACAGAGGAGTGTCCTTCACATTTGGTGCAGAAGTGGTTGCAAAATTTCTCCATAAGCATGATTTGGATCTTATATGTAGAGCCCATCAGGTATTGATTTTGAATTTTACATGTACACTTAAGAGCATGTGTGTGAGCAAGATTCTCCTTGTTAATTTTGGTGGGTAGGTATTGCTTGTTTATACAAAATGTCTCTGGAAGTTGACCTGCAGGATATCAGGCTCAACGGAAACTAAGAGTGGTTTTACTCACCTAAAATTTGCACCTACTTATACTGAAAACATTTTCTCTCCAAGGTGGTTGAAGATGGATACGAATTTTTTGCAAAGAGGCAATTGGTCACTCTGTTTTCTGCACCCAATTACTGTGGAGAATTTGACAATGCAGGTGCCATGATGAGTGTGGACGAAACACTAATGTGCTCTTTTCAGGTAGATGATGTTCTCAACATTGTTTCTTTTTATGTCTGAGAGGAAAAAATTGCTTTCTGCTTCCTGTTCATTTATGTTAGACTAAATTTTTATTTTCCCTTAACCAGTGTTTATCTTAGTTCAGTAATAAGTAAACCCCCTTTCAAGGAAAACATTATCATGGAACCTTTCCCCTAGTGTCCAATTTAACTGCTTTTGCATTATTTAAGTAAGTTTTAAAGAAATTAAAAAAAAAAAAAACAATACATTAGCTCTTTATGCTGATGTCCCCTTTACTATAAATCTAACGATAGTGTCAGTATGATGTTCAGTTTAAATTACATCACTGATTGCATGTGAGAATAGTGCTAACTCCATGTGCCAGACATGCCGTGATTAATTACTCAGTTCTCCCACCACTTTTCCCTAGTGTAAATTTCTCTAGTATAATTTCTACTAAACCTCTGTTGATGCACCATGACATCATTTGGCCTTCACTTGGCACAAAAGCCATTTACAAAAAGTAAAGTCTGCTTCTCCCTCTCTTTCTCCTTCACCTATGTCAAACTTGTACCACTTCAAGCCAGCCCAGTCATAAATATAAATAGAGCCACTGAAGTCATGTGGAGTAAAACAAGGAACTTGCAGCTCCCAGAGATTGTGGGAGGATCCCCTCAGAGCACTTGCTCTCCTTATGTCAGAAGGGATAGCCTAACAATTCTACAAGGTGTAACTTGAGAAAATTTCCAGAGCAAAATAATTTGTCTTATCTATTCATCATAACATTTATTACCAAAATGTTTACTTGCCAACTTGATTCATGTTAATAAGCTATTGGGACTTTCAACGTTGTTGGGCAGTTTTAAAGTCAAAACCTGTTGAATAAAATATTTGAATGACATTTAAGAGATCTTAAGAAGATTTGGGGTTGAGTATATTTCCTAAAAAGTACTGTTGTTGAATCTTTGCAGATTTTAAAGCCTGCAGAGAAAAAGAAGCCGAGTGCCACGAGACCAGTAACACCTCCACGGGGTATGATCACAAAGCAAGCAAAGAAATAGATATCATTTTGACACTGCCTAGTTGGGACTTGTAACATATAGTATATAGCCTTCATTTTTAAAACTGTAATGTGTATTGGTCAGCTTGCTCAAATAGTGTGTTTGTGGAGCCCTCCCTTCCATTTTTTCAGTTAATAAATGGCATTTGCTGGTTGTAACAGCAAATGAAAGACTTCACAACTTCACTCCCAAGAAAAAATGTTTTGTTTTTTAGTTCTTCCTTTTGCAAACAAGTTTAATGATGGTGTTAAATCTGTGCACCCCCAGACAATTTATCCTGTCTAAGGGGTAAGTGTACAATTGACTTTCTTTTTTCAGTTCAGTAAAAACCATGGATAATGTAAATGCTTGTTTTCGTTAGGATATAAAGAGAGCCCTAAGGTGCTCAGTCTGTATATGTTATTGTCATAAAATGCATACTGTTGATACAAATCACTGTGAACATTATTATTTTTTTTTTTTTAGGAATTTGTTTCAAAGGGATTGCTTATTTCTCTCATTGTCTTGTCATGTACAAACTGGTTTTTATAGCTATCAACATTAGGAGTAACTTTCAACCTTGCCAGCATCACTGGTATAATGTATATTTAATTAAAGCACACTTTCCTCTACCTTATACTTAAAATGACAAAGCCATTATTTTCAATGTTTGTGACTCTTTCCTAAAGCCAAAGTTTCTGTTGAAATATGTATTGACACACCCCCAAGGATAAGGAGGTATGGTTTGTGTATCCATGCCACCTTCTTGAGGATTCAAAATCAGGTTTTTGAGTTTGAATAGCAATTAGTAACATAGTGCTGTTTAAGCTATTAATGATTAAAATTAATAACATTTTGTACAATTTCCATATAGTCTATTCATTAAGCAATCTTTTTACAGTTGCATCAGGCCTGAACCCGTCCCTTCAGAAAGCTCCAAATTATAGAAACAATACTGTTCTATACGACTGAGCGATTATGCTTTCTTTGGCCTACAGTCTTTATTCTGCGGTGAAGTTGAGGCTTATAAGTCAAAACAAAAGAACTAACTTACCTATCCACCAGTTTATACAGAACTTACATTATCTATGACTTTTTTAAACCCAAGATCTGTTCAAAAGAAATCTGTTTCAACAGATGACCATGTACAATACCATGTGATAAAAGTGAATTCAGACTTATTAAATGACGAACTTGTTAAATCCTCTCAGTGTCAATTTATCAGCACAATACACACAGGAGAACTATTGATGGCATATTGACTAGATGTTACTGAATAAATTGCTCTGAAAACCACACAATTTCTATTTGAATTTGTCTTCCTTCAAATAGTCTGTTTTCCCAAGATGGATTATAACATGCATGCTCATGTTCTTTGAGTTCTAACCTGGATGTAGCTAAGTTTCTAAAGTGGCATGATGAGATTAAACTGTCCTCCCTAATATATTTGGGGAGGTGTGGGACTTGGTGAGGTGTGATTTCATCTGTATTCATAGTTTTCTTTTTGTCTGGGTTCAATTGGACTTGGCGGTAATTCAGGAGCTACTTTATATTCATCACACATGTTGCATGCACATATTAATCTCTCAAAGTACATTAAAAGTGGGTAACACACGTGTCATTTTACATTAAAAGCAGCTCTATCCAAGGGGAGTTGGAAAAGGTCCTGCTCACGAGGGGCAGCTTGAACCACGGAGGGAAGAGCGCAGGCGTGCTGGGGTGGCCTCCCCCTGCAGACAGGCTCGGTCCTGAGGCATCGCCGAGCCCTGCCCCGGGGTTCCTCTGCCAGTAAGAGAAGTGGGACTCCATGACTTGGCACTAGCACCTTCCTGCTCCGCATCCGGTGATAAATCCACAGCTGCATTTCACTTTTCCTGTAATTCTCCCAGACCTCTATAGGAAGAAAATGAACAGCAATTGATTGTGTCAAAGGCCACTTTCATATGTCTTGAATCTATGCTCTGGACATTATCGATTATGCCACTTCTAAGATTTCAAAAATAAAGTTGTAATATTGGGCCACTCTGCTTAGGTTATAAAGTGTGGAGTGGAGTGTCTAGCTTAAAATTATCTTCAAAAAACTAACAGGCATGGCACTGATTAGATAGAGAACAATGTCAATCTTTGGTTTTTGGATGTGAGGTTTTAGAAGAGCTTTGAATAATTTGAAACTTATATGTGACAACAGAACTTGAGGCTTTACCTTGTAATTCCCAATCTACCCTAATATTTCTTATTTGATAAGCTAGTGGTTTCACCTGGTTCAAGCCTGCCTTCTCTCCTACTTGTGTAATTTGAGTGAGGAGTTTAAATGCTGAGCCACAGCTGTCCCTAGCCCCTCAGTGTGAGTCATTGAACGAAATAATGTAGTACGCTCAGAAGAGTGTTTAATTTAGAATAGTATTCAGTAAATAGTTACACTTGGGGCCTGATAATTACTCAGTTGTTTCATGTGTTTGAATATCTCAATTGGTTGACTGTAAGTAGTCATCTACCTTTTGTTTGTGGGCTGATTGTGACCTGATTCTGAGCTGTGGATAGCTAAGTCTTTCTGTGCACTGACTGCATACAGAACACTTATGGATAATTTTCAGCAGATGCATTGTAAAAGAAATAACTAGGAAATATGAAGTTGCAATTATTAGTGTAATATTTTAAATGGTAGTTTTGTTTTAAATGATTGTTTTATAATGTATTCCAACTCTTGAAGATAACAGCACCATTACAAAACTATTCAGAAAGATAGGTGATAGCCATCCTTAAATGTAACTAAACAGTCTGTATAATATAATTTAAACCCATCCATTAAAGTCATGGACTAGGCTTACCCACATCTACTAGCTTGCAGTGAACAGCACATGTTACATGGCACCCTTAATTTAAGACTAGAGACTTCTCTTGTAACACACAAGTTGTGTTTTGAGACATGGGGACTAGGAACAAGTGAGTGCTGAGCCATGAAGGTACAGGAGTTAAAAAGAAACTCAGTTTGCTGGTAAACAGGCATCATACTATCCAGGAAGGGCATGAATGTGGTAGTTTGGATAGAACTAGGTTCTGCATGAGGGCAAAAAAATGTTTTATGCATGTTTGGGTATGTAGAAGACAGTAAAAAAGAACTACAAAAAGTTAAAAGGTTTTTGGGTTCTGTATACCCATTTCCCACCTCTTGGAAAAGAGACCCAAAGCTCAGACCCAAAGCTTTGTAGACCAGCTACCTTGAACCTGTGTGGATGACTTCACTTTTTTCAGTTATGCAAATCTGATGCACACCTGAGCCTAGACCAGAAGACTAGACCTCTGCCCCCAGGCTTTTCCTGATGGGATTTTGACGATTAAACCACAAAAGGTACCTACAACTTGGCTTGCACTTTTGGTAAACAGCTCTATGATACAAAAGGTATTTCTAAGGTTTGCATCAATGGCAATGCAAAGCTACGTCAGGAAAACTTGGTGCAGGCAAAAGTCAATTTTCATTCATCCTTGCTGGATTATATATGTGAGCTGCAGAAAAAGTGAAAATGAAGATGCACTATTAATGCCTTCAACTTTAACACAAGACTGAAACAGAATGAATACTTAAAATTCCTGGCTTCCCTGGAATTTGTGCTTGACTAAGTGAACACAGAGACTGCTACCCATCTGATCACAATAGCTTCAGGAGCTGGAACAAGCATGGCTTGAATTTGTTGCAAATATCTGAATAAATCCCAATACAGGTAGGCATTTCTGTTGTGGGAATTATGTCATTTGTCAGTTATTTGAAGTATAAATATGTTACAGAATTAAATAAAGCACTTTGGTTAATTATGAAAATTTGTAATCAAGTAGAAAGTTAGCAACAATTCAATAGGAAAATTTGTTACCTAGATAAGTTCAGAAAGAACTTTATATTCTGAGCTAACAAAAGTTCATAAGGCCCTGAACAGTTTGGCTCAGTGGATAGAGTGTCGGCCTGCAGACTGAAAGGTCCTGGGTTCGATTCTGGTCAAAGGCATGTACCTTGGTTGTGGGCACGTTACCAGTGGGGGGTGTGCAAGAGGCAGCTGATCGATGATTCTCTCTCATCGATGTTTCTAACTCTCTCCCTTCCTCTCTGTGAAAAATTTGTTCCTGCCCAATGTCAAACATTGGAAAATCCAAAACAGTTGTAATAATTAAGTTGTAAGATAGATTTTTTTCCCCCACATAGATTTCAAGTTCATTCTTGTCTCAATTCTCTAATATTGGCTGAGACTAAATGTTGAATTGTAATCATCATTCAGCCAAGATGCATATTTGGTATAAATAGGAAAAACCTGAAGAGCCATTTAAAAATGCATATTTCTGCCCGACCAGTGTGGCTCAGTGGTTGAGCATCAATCTATGAACCAGGTCACATGTCCGGGTTGTAGGCTCAATCCCCCAGTAGGGGGCATGCAGGAGGCAGCCAATCAATGACTCATCAATATTTCTCCCTCTCTGAAATCAATAAAAATATATTTTAAAAAATACAAGGATGGGAAAATAAATGCATATTCCTTCTTTCTTCTAGCCACCATAGTAGCGCAGTAGGAACTACCATGTCTCCCAGAAAGGACCAGCCCACACACCAGTTGTTCAGGCTGGCAAACAAGAGAACAGTAACTAGTCATGTTCTTAGACTGGCTGCTTGACCTTTCCTGCAAAACCCAGGCAGGAGAGTGAGCTGGTGGGATAAAGGAAGTTCATATGCCATCTGCTGGAGATTTGCTCACTTACCAACTGCATGAGCCTTTAGAGGAATCAGATTCCATACCTTATACCAAAATAAAAGCACCTCTTCCAAATATGATAACCCTCCTACAAACAATATCTTCTCGTGTTTAATGTTAACCCTTCGATTAAGAGATAGCTGGAGTTGACTGACAGATCATACCCTCAAGTAATTTTCCCCAACTCTCATTAGAAGGCTGTGCAGTATAAATTATAAAATGCACAGATCCAGCCCTAGCCAGTTTGGCTCAGTGGATAGAGCATCTGCCTGCAGACTGAAGGGTCCCAGGTTGGATTCCGGTCAGGACACATGCCCAGATTGTGGGCTCGATCTCCCGTGTGAAGCATGCAGAAGTCAGTTAATCAATGATTCTCATCATTGATGTTTCTATCTCCCCCTCTCCTTCCTCTCTGAAATAAATAAAAATTTTAAATAAAATGCAGGGATCCAGGGTGGATTAGGGTTGGCTGGAGTTTGCTCAACAGCTTGGCTTACATTGGTTTCAGGGCTGCACCCGTGTTTCACTGTTTTTACTAATAGGGTCACTGAGTATTACACCCAGTAAGATTAAAGATTTGCTGCGTGCAAATTATTGAGTGCACATTTTGGTCACAATGAGTGGTGCATTTTTTTGAGATTATTTTTAAATATATGATCTTATAAAGGTTAATATCATTTCATTTAAAACTTTGACCTCTGCTTTTGCATTTATATAATCCCAAGAGCTGAGAAAGGTGCTTTGCCTTCTCTCCCCATCTCTAGAAAGACAGGGTACCTCTAAGAATGCTGTCCAAACTTTTTTTGACAGAACCCTTTAAAGAAAATCATGTGAAAGGCATCCTACGTAAAATAAATAAAATCAGAACAGCTCTGTTAGAAGCAGAGACTGGGGGCTGTTTGTCCCCCCGCCAGCTTCAGCCCCCACCATCCCGGCCCCCTTAAAGGATTGAAACTACTCTAGGAAAAATCCTGGCTGCTGCTTTCAGGCCTATGTTTGTAGACCAGCATCGGTAAGGTGTCGGTACAACCTTCTACAATTGCAGCCTTCTCAAGCTTTGTGAGGCCTTGTCTAAGATCTAACGAGCTAAGAAATTCAATCTGAGTACTCTGGGTAGAAAGTTAATCAGAGTGACTTAGCTGGCTTTCCTTTCTCGGTGTTAAAGGGACACAGCAGATCAGGAAAGCCTGGGAGGGAGTAGCCGTCGTGAGGTCTCTGGTGAGACGGCTGTCTTGCCTC